ATGCAGCATTTATTCATTTATTTATTTACTTTAGAGATGGAGTTTTGCTCTGTCACTCAGGCTAGGGTGCAGTGTCATGACCATAGCTCACTGCAGCCTTGAACTCCTTGGCTCAAGCGAGCCTTCTGCTTCAGCCTCCTCAGTAGCTGGGAATACTGCCACATACCATTACACTAGTAATTTTTATTTTTATTTTTAGTTTTGTCTTTTGTAGAAATGGGGTCTCATTATATTTCCCAGGCTGGTCTCAAACTCCTGGACTCAGCAGTCATCCTGCCTTGGCCTCCCAAAGTGCTGACATTATAGGCCTGAGCCATTATGCGCGGCATAATTTATTTTCAAAGTTTATATTTTTGTAATCAATGTCACACATGTACATGGTTTCCACAAGATTTGTTGTTATGAGAAACTGTTCCTCCCCTTCTCCGCACCATCCATATCCTCCTACCCTCCTCATCACCCACCAGTGGCAAGACTTTCAACTGTCAGGTCATGCTTGTGGTATTTACTTCCATATGTCTGAATGCTGTAGTATGTGTATGTTGCAACTACTTTGATTTTCAGCTCTAGGCATTAACCATTGATTTTTCATCTTGGAAGATGAGAATTTAGCTGTTTATCCTCTCCCCACAGCCCCTATTATTCATATGCACACTTTCTTATCTGTCTGTCTTCCAATATAATTGATATAATATTGGTTAGGTCAATATTTAGTGCTTATGTTATGACTTTGTAAATGTAATCCTCCAGTGAGACATGCTCCCCTTCAGCCCTAATTTTCGTTTTTCTTGGGGAGTTAATTTTTATCAAGGTTTTTTACTTGCTGATTTTATATATAGTTGTCACTAATCTAACCCCATACTCTCCAACAAATATTTAAATTGGGGCTTGTCAAATGTGAACTTACAGGGTAATCTGATTGCATTATTTTGTCCAGAGCATTCAATATTATCTTAGCTCTCACTGTGTTTTAAGATCTTGCCTTTGCCAGATTCTCCAAAGAATTTTTTTTTGTCTTTATTTGGCTGGAGATTAAATGCCTGGCTGTCAGCCTTCCGATGTTTGGGAGTCTCCATGTCATGATATGAGTCTCAATACCTCTATACATTCGTTTAATCAGAATGGTACCCCCTATTCTCAACTATGCTTGATGCTCCTAAGTACAGTGGCCCTTTGTTTTACCCTTTCCAGAGAGTAACCTTCCCAAGAGGAGGTGGCGTGGCTGTTTAGAATAGTCAAGGGGAATATGGAATTTTAACTGCTTTTTAAAAATAAGATAACAGCTTTATTGAGATATGATGTATAAGCCAAAAGTTTCCCTCCCTTAAAGTGTACAATTTTGTGGTTTTTAGTATATTCACAAAGTTGTGTAAATATCACTAATATTTAATTTTACAACATTTTCATACAGAAACCTTGTACCTTTTAGCAGTTATTCCCCACCTCCTCTTTTTTTCCAGCCCCTGGCAGCCACTAATCTACTTTCTGTTTGTGTCTCTCTCTCTTTTTAAAATGATCTCTTTTAACATCTTCTAGACATTTCATATAAACAAAATCTTACAATACATGCATGGTCTTTTCTGACTGGCTTCTTTCACTTAGCATAATGTTTTCAAGGTTCACCCATATTGTAACATGTATCAGTACCTCATTTCTTTATATTGTGAAATAATATTTTATTTATGATATATCTTTTTTGTTTTTTTTTCATTATGTGATAGCATTTGAGTTGTTTCTACTTTTGGCTACTGTGAATAATAATGCTTTGAACATTCATGTACAGTTTTTGTGTGGATATATGTTTTCATTTTTCTTAGGTGTACACCTAAGAGTGGAATTGCTGAATCACGTAGTAACTCTAGTTTTACCTTTGTGAGGAACCACCAAACGTTTTTTCAAAGTAACTACACCATTTTACACATACCTAGCAGTGAAATTGTTGAGTCATACAGTAACTTTATGTTTTGCATTTTGAGAAACCACCAAACTGTTTCCCAAAGTGACTGTACCATTTTATAATACCACCAGGTGTGAGTGTTTCACATTTCCTGCTTCCTTACCAATATTTGTTGTTGTCTGTCTTTTTTATTTTAGCCATCCTTGTGGGTCAGAAGTCATACTCTGTTTTTCGATTTGCATTTCCCTAATGACTAATGACGTGGAGCACCTTTTCCTGTTTGCATTGGCATATCTTCTTCGGAGAAATGTCCATTAACATTTTTTGCCCAGCCTCAGCATAATAGGAAGACCCTGCCTTTACAACAGCAACAAAAAATTAGCTGGGTGTGGTGGCCTGTTCTTGTAGTCCCAGATGCTTGGGAGGCTGAGGCAGGAGGATCACTTGAGCCCAGGAATTGGAGGCTGCCAAGAACTATGATTGTGCCACTGCACTCCAATCTGGGTAACAGAGCAAGCTGTCTCAAATAAACTTTGTTTCCCAATTAAAAATTGGTCTATTTGTTTTTTTCATTGCTGAGTTTTAAGAAATTTTTATTCTGGATACTGTCTCCTATGAGATACATGGTTTACCAATATTTCCTCTCGTATTGTGGGTTGTCTTTTCACTTTTCTGAGGGTGTCCTCTGAAGCACAGAAGTCTTTAATTTTGATGAAATCTTATTTTTTTCTTTGGGTACTTATGCTTTTGGTATCGTATCTAAGAAACAATGGCCTAATCCAAAGTCAAAAACATTTACTCCTACCCTTTCTTCTAAGAGTTTTAATTTTAGATCTTATTGTGTGTTTATGATTCATTTTGAGTTAATTTTTGTGTGCAATGTGAAATAGAAATTCAACTTCATTGTTTTGCATGTGGATATCCAAAGTTATTCCGGGAAAGTTTGTTCAAAAGATCATTCTTTCCCCATTGAATTGTCTTGGCACTTTTGTTGAAAATCAATTCCCTCTACATATAAGAGTTTATTTCTGGACACTCAATTCTATTTCATTTACCTATATATCTGTCCTTAGTACCACACTGTCTTGATCATTGTAACTTTGTTGTAAGTTTTGATTTGTCTAACTGCTTCTCACACTTCGAACCACTCTTTTTCAGTCTCATCTACCTTCAATTCCAGAGATATTTGAGCCTTTAGGATATTCTGTCATGTAAATTGCGTTGCTTCTCAGTCTTCTTCATTGATAGCTTAAGGTTCAGCTTTCCCATGACTGCAAAGCCTTTGATCATTTTTTTCTTCTTTCAAGCTAATTTTTTGTTGCTGTTGTTTTCCAATTTATGCATTTCTTATGTACCTTGAAAAGGAATTTTTATGTTGTTTTAATAGGGTTTCTAGGGTGAGAAAAAGTAGTTAAATCTTTAATATTGTAAATACATATTTTAAATAAATTACTTTTAATATCTTTTTTTCCCTCGCTTTCACATCCAAGCAGGGACACTGTCTAGTGGATTTTATCCCTTCACATCTCTGGTTTTTTCATTACATCTCAGTAACATTAGCTATTATTGTCATTACTTCATTCATCTTATTTAAACTTGCTTCTCCTATTAGCTGATTAGAGCTGACCTTTACAGAATATGTAAACCAAATAATATTTTCAGAATTAGATCAATTAATAATTATATCCCTTCAAGATTCCAGAAACAATTAAACTTCAGTCAATATTAGTTCATCCCAACTTGTTTTGAAACCCTTTTTTTAATATATATATATAGGCAAGCAGTGCCAGCACCAGATTTTGTTTAGATTTTTAGTGAAACAAGCACATTTGGCCAAGAGTTTTTCATTCTTCAGGAGATTGGTAACATTTTCCTGTGGCCTTGTGAATTTTATGACTTTCTAAGGTTTGAATAGTAAGAATATTGATTAATCTATGCATGTCAAGTTGCTGGATTTGATCTAGTTGACACTGATGTTTGACAGTATATGTAGTCATTAAAAGCTCAGATGTCTTAGTACTCTTAACCTCTGCCTTCTCCTCACCACATAACACACAGATCTCATATATTTAAGTAGCAGTTTTTATATGAAAGGGTTATGTCAATGATTAAATTTCCATGATTTTCAGTGGAGAGAAAAAATTCAGTAACCACAAGAGTGTTAAAATGAATGGCTGATATATGGGAATCTAGTCTCCTTTTATTTCTCATTTAGTAAGGAAGATTCCAGGGTTAGTATCTGAGCTATACATAAACTCCCTGTGGCTAAATCAAACCCTTACATTTTCTTTGCAATACATTTTCCTCCATATAACTCTACATAGAGGAATCACAGGATTAAGAAGAAGTCCTTCTATGAAAGCCATTACACATATGTACACTCACATGTTTGCATGCACAAAATTACAGTATGTCAGGTCAGAAAAAGCTTATTAACATAAAATGGAGTTGGTCAATGAGTAAAAAAATAGGCTGATAGGAGGAATAAGATCTAGTATTCAGGAGCACAATAATTTATTTTCTTTTGTATGTTAAAATAACTGAAAGAGTGGAATTGGAATGTTTCTATCACAAAGAAATGATAAATGCTTGAGGCAATGGATATCTTGATTACCTTATTTGATCATTACACATTGCACACTTTTGTCAAAGTATCACATGTACCTTATAAGTATGCACAACTATTCGTTATCCATAAAAATTAAAAATTAAAAAATCCATAAAATGGTTTAAGGATTCAGCAGTGCTGATCTTTTGTAAATTATTTTTCTAATTTTGGAAAGAAAGCACAAAATCTTTGAATTCACAGTTGCTTAAAGACTGAGGTTAACTTGCCAGCGGCAGGCTTGAGAGATGAGAGAGCTAACGTCAGGGGATAGATGGTTTCTTGTACAAATAACACCCCCTTATGTATTGTTCTCCACCACCCCCGCCCAGAAAGCTACTCGACCTATGAAACAAATCACATCATGAGCACAGATAACCCCAGGCTTCAGGTCTGTAATCTGACTGTGGCCATCGGCAACCAGAAATGAGTTTCTTTCTAATCAGCCTTCCATCAGTCTCCAGTCATTCATATAAAGGAGCCCGGGGATGGGAGGATTCTCATTGCTCTTCAGCACCAGTGTTCTGGACAGCGCCCCAAGCAGGCAGCTGATCGCACGCCCCTTCCTCTCAATCGCCGCCAGCGCTGCTACTGCCCCTCTAGTCCCCCCTGCTGCAGAGAAAGAATATTACACTGGGATCCATGCAGCCAGCAATGATGATGTTTTCCAGTAAATACTGGGCAAGGAGAGGGTTTTCCCTGGATTCAGCAGTGCCCGAAGAGCATCAGCTACTCGGCAACTTAACAGTGAGTACTACGTACCTGGCACTATGGAGAAGTATTTTCTAGGGTAGTGACCACCTTCTCCTCACCATATGAATCCCTCTTGTAGTGTAAGTAAGCACGCATACCTCAACTTTCTCCTTCTTTATAAACTCTCTACCCTGCTTTCCTCCTGTCTGCCTTCAGTCTTCCTCTTCTCTCCGTAAGTAAAGCGAGTGTGCCAATCACTGCGTGCTAAACTTTTTTCCGCAAAGTTTATAAGTACGGAGTTAAGAAGTTCCTGAACATTAAGAATGAGAGATTGTATGAATCAATGTCTTAAATCTACAACCAAAAAAACAAAAAAAAACAAAAAAAAACAAAAAAAACAGTGTGAAGAATTTTGAAAAGCCATTTATTATTAGGAGGAGGAATAAGGAGAACAAATTAAATAAATTTCCACGGTTTTCAGAAGATCATTGTGTCTCCTACACCCCCTTCAGTTTACAAAGACTGGTCTTTAAACATAGAACTATTATTTTCTGTTCTTAGTTATGGGTGCAGGTTATTGGAATAAAAGAAAGATTGAATTCCTTTCAAAAGTTTTTCTGTGTTCCACATTGCTCAATTTTTTCAGTTTACTTGATGGAATAATACAAGCAATACATCACTTGCTATGGTATTTAAGGGAGTTTTATGTTTATAATATCTACAGAATAAAAAAAGCAGTATTTGCAGGATTTTAGATCCTGCTTTGAGGTAATAGTCATGGGATTTTAAAAAAACCATGAAATAAAAATGTGTCCAGGTCCTAGTCATTAAAAATATTAAATGGTATTTTATTACTGTACTACCAGAGTTTATCAACCAAATCCAATTCAGTCTGTATCATAGAATAATCTGTTTTAATATCGTAGTTCCAAATATGTGCCAGAGGGCTGCATTGTACTGACATATTATTACTGATAAAAATGTTGAAAAGTAAACGTGGCAACTTCTGTAGAATTATTTAAATCAATTTGCAAAAATAAGGCCAAAGCGTAAATAGATTTTCTAACATTTAAATATAATGAATATTTGGATGAGATATTACAATGAAGAATTTTGAAGTCATAATTAACTGCTAGAAGGAAAACAAAGAAAGCTTAGGGTAATGCTAATGTATAACCCTTTTATATAAAAAATGCTACTTATATATGCGAGATCTGTGTGTTATGTGGTGAGGAGGAGGCAGATGTTAAGAACACTGAGACATTTGAGCTTTTAATGACTAAACATACTGTCAAATGTCAATGTCTGCATAAACTTCTTCCCTCCCTCAAGTCATAAATAATAAAATCTCCATCTCTATTACATATAATCTAGTGAGTAAGGCAATACTGATGTGTGAAAATAAAGCCAGTAGAGAAATCAGAAGAAGACAATGGCAGATAACTATTCACTGGGTCCCAAAGCAAACCTACATTTCTCAGTTTCATGAGGATGTAGCAGATTGGTATGATTGTATTAAATCACCATTTGCCAGGAGTTACTTCTTTGTCTGCCCAATGCTGTATTTGCATATAAAGAATATAAAACAGACCATCCTAATTTTGCATTGTCTGTCAAATGAAAGTTCCCAGCTTGTTGTTTTTGTTTTGTTTCCTCCCATTCTATTCCTAAATAAAGTTTCCAGATTTTTATTCTGCATTTCTGGCAATGTGACCTGAGTTACTGGAATCTGTCATTTTTTTCTTTAGCCAGCAGGACTAATAGACATTACTTCCTCAGGCAATATAAAATCTTAAGTGGCGAATGAAGTGTTAATCTTTTTCAGTTTCTCAGATTTTACTGTTTGCTCCTAATAATTAGCTTGCCAGATTTCTTCCTTCCTTTCTTCTTTTTTCATTTTATTTGTGACTGAATTTTAATAGTCACTTTTCAAGCATTGTCTTCTGACACAGATGGCCTTAGAGTTATACACTTGTCTGTGTTAAACTTTTGCAGGCAGATTCACATTGACACTGTGGATCTAACTGAAGAAAGTAATATTACTCATTAATTTCTGGGCATGTGCTGATGTATTTCAGAATGAAATAAATATTTTGTTTTTAAAATTTAATTGAAACTAAAATTATTGTCAAAAATATGTTTGATCTTATTTTTATTATGGTTAGTAATTAATATAGTTTCCATATGATTCAATGAGGCTAAGAGATCAAACTTTGTGCTGTAAAATAATTCTAGAAAGGCAGGAATTGTTCATATATGATACTTCAGGCTTTATGACAGTCAGGTTTTTGTTGCTATTAAAGCGAAGCAAATCTGATCCCCTTTTAATTTCAACCACTAGATGATGTCTTAGACCACTGGAAAATAGTCTCTCAGCGTAAATTAAACCAATATTTATGTTGAAAGTTATGAGTGACATGGCAACTTCACCTTAAGTTTGCATGATTGGTGGAGCTTCCAACTTATGAATGAAATGTGTGGGAAAAATCTAATTACAGAGGATTCTGGAACCCTAACTAACGTTTCGTTTTATTATGCTTCGACATTCCTGAAGCTAAATAAACCTAACTCTGGCAAAAATGACGACAAAGGCAACAAGGGAAGCAGCAAAAATGAAACTGTTACCGAAAGTGGCAAGACAGCAGTTGTTTTCTCCTTGAAAAATGAAGTCGGTGGATTGGTAAAAGCACTGAGGCTCTTTCAGGTGAATGTAAAATATCATTACATCATTTTAAAAGTGACTGTGTGCCTGGTTACAAACCTGTTATCTGCTCTGAAACATTTCTGAATCAATTTCTGGATAATGTGGTAAAAGTTTCCAAGGAACCAAACTTCAAGAGGCTTTAAAAGGGGGGTCTGTCTGTCAAGCAATGAAATAAGCAGAATTGTGTAAGCTGTGGCTTATTAATGCAGTTAGCTTGTTAGGAACTCTGAAGACTATTGCCAGGTTAGGAGGTCAGTACTTCAAAAATGTGAGCTTCCCACCTGAAAATGAAAACACAAGAGGAGCCAAACAGGGTATCTTAAGTAGCAAGAGCCTGCAGCTTGATTTGATTTGTTCACATTTGAACTTACACATGTCCTAGGAGCATGTTTATTACGAAAAAAGTGAGATACATGAGTATAGGCACTCGGTATTCCCCTAAGCCTCATTGTTTATTTGTCTTTATGTATCTTTTTGTGAAGATGAGTCACTCTCCTTATATTATACATTGTGGGGCTAGCTCTTCCCTTATCTTATAGAAACGTCGTAGCAACTTCTCAGGCCCAAATCTGTAGTTTGAACCCTCAAGAAAGATCCTGGTTAGGGGTGAGGCTGGAAGAAAAGCTGTTGTGTTCTTGCCAGCATGTACCTAACGGTTTCTCTACCCTTCAGCAAACACCCCCCCTTACAAAATGCATTTTGTTTGGGGGCAGTGGCTGTTGATGAGAGCTGTAAGATAAGGAGCCTAGCTCTGCATGATGCCTTGGGCTGCTAGTGCAGTGGAAAGATAGCTGGAATTGCAGTCAGGGGATTCAGACCTGTGTTCTCCTGATTTGGCTAAACACTAGCTGCTTCCTAGGTTCAATTTCTTTATTTGTAAAATTGCAATAATAATTCCTACCTAACAGGATTGCTGGGACGACATAATATGAGTGAAAGTGCTTTGTAAAGTGTATAACTATGAGGCATTATTATGATGCCTCTATGATGATCATAGCAGGGGAATTAGCAGCCTGATTTGGCAAATCATTTCTTGTTCTCTTTTGACCTTGAAGAAAGGATCAGGCACCATAAACAGTGGTAATGGAAATCTGAGGAAATATTTTACAGATAATTATGTCATCCAAGCCTGTGTCCATACAGTGCCAAAGGCAGGCCAATTCAATTAGACAGCTGGGTGCAGTGGATAAATTCCTGGAGAAGGAGTTAGCAGCCCTGAGTTTTCACTCTGCCATCAGCTAGTCACCGGACCTTAGCTAAACCATTTAACCCATCTGGACCTCAGTTCCCCTAAAAATATCTACTCTGCTTCAACCAAAGGTCATTAAAAGCCTAACGTGACACAATGTATGTGAAGTCTCTTGGACCTTGAACTTAATCTTAATGTTATTATCAGCCAGTTGAGAAAATATGACATTATTGTAAAGGTTAATAAAAACAGAAATAGAACATTTAGTTTCCTAGTCACAAGACTAGTTTCTTTATATAGGAGAGGGTGCTATTTGATTTGATACTATTCTGGCACTGGAAACTACGTATCCTGCTCTTATGCTGAAAATTCTGAGATTGTCTAGGATTGTATCAGGAATTGTGCGGGTAATCACAGCGTATCATCTGGAGTGAGAAAATGTCTGCTTATTTGGAGGTGGGTTGGGATGAAAAGAACAGAGTCTTCAATTAACTTAGAGGAAATGAAGAACACATCACTGGGGGAAATTCTAACCTGATTTTTAAATATTAAATCACTGTCCTTATCTCTGAGATCCATCATAGAGTGATAGTTGCAGCAACACATCCTTGGTTGAAGCTAGTTTGAAGATTGTCAAAAGAGAACAATTATTAAGTGATCCCATTTAGGGGTTATTATCATTATTTTTTACCTTTTCTTCACCCTCTTTGCAATTGCCTAAGTTGTTTGTTTTCCTTTTGCCTTCAGAGATCCTCTCTTGACTACTTATCTTGCTCCTATTTCTTTTTCTACCATATGGATTACAGTTTGGCTAGTGTTTCCCAAGCCTCAGTCATTTTCATGCCACCTCCCCCATTTCTGCTTGCCATTTGTACTGTTTACTTATAAAAAGATTATAAAAGGTTATTTCTAAAAGGCTATTTTAAAACTCTGTTTATTTTAAAAGAAAACTTTATATTAGGGGTTTGAGTTTTAGTTATGTTTTTCGGAAACATATAAATATGGATTATTACATGATAATGTAATAAATAATTTTTTCCCCAAATAATAATGTGCCACCTATGGGATGTGTACCACTCTCTGGGAAATGATGATGTTCATTTTATAGGGCCAGTTTATATTTTAAATGCCCCTTCTGTTTTATATGAGGCAGGACAACCTATACACAGAAGTATGAATATATAGATTTTTTATTAACAGAAATAATGGTTGGAAACATTTCCAAGTTTTATTCAAAGAACAAAGAGATTGTCTCTTCCTCCTGCATGGGTACTTGGCACCTTGCTTAAGACGTGAACAAGAAAAGCTGATGGCATTCCTTTTATTGTCCCCCAAAGGTGATTTTGAGATGGTCATGTTTCCACAGGAAAAACGTGTCCACATGGTTCATATTGAATCCAGGAAATCTCGGCGAAGGAGCTCTGAGGTTGAAATCTTTGTGGACTGTGAGTGTGGGAAAACAGAATTCAATGAGCTCATTCAGTTGCTGAAATTTCAAACCACTATTGTGACGCTGAATCCTCCAGAGAATATTTGGACAGAGGAAGAAGGCAAGGGTGGTCTTAGCTTGTTGGGTAATTTTGAAATCTGACAAATATTGCAAAGGGGAAAACACAATCTGTGAACTAATATTTTTGAACCTGCACTGTTTTCAACAGAGCTAGAGGATGTGCCCTGGTTCCCTCGGAAGATCTCTGAGTTAGACAAATGCTCTCACAGAGTTCTCATGTATGGTTCTGAGCTTGATGCCGACCACCCAGTAAGTGTCCAGTAAAATCTATTTCTCACATGCTCTCTCAGCTCCACCCATGTGACAGGCAGTGTGCCATGTTCTGTGCTGCAATGCTTTATTATAGAACAATTTCTTATTTATTCCCCATAACTGAGAGCAGACTTCCAAATGATAAAGCTTCCCTGTACGCGTGTTGACTGGAAGCAGGTTAGAAGGATGGTATTTTCACGTAGCATTTATTTTTAAAAGGGTTGGATAGAGGAGGAGACTCTAAACCTTGGAGAATATTTCTGTGGAATTAGACAGCCTGAAATATACTTGCAGATGGTGACCCTTGGAAAAACGATGAACTGAAATTGATCATGCCTCTGGGAAACTAGGGAGGACTAGGCATTATGGGGCTCAGTGAGAGAATAAAATTCTTCTTGCTATTTTCCTTGACTGGAGGTAGTTAGGAGTAGAGTAATGTAGTTGACTTCAGTCTCAATGGAAGGGCAGAGCATTTTAGAATAAAGGCTATGATGGAAGACATATCTCTTCCCACATCTACCCTGAATCTATCTACCATCATTCTTTCCTCTACTCCAATAAAAATGACCATCTTTAAAGAAATATGATACTCGGGTAAGCATTTCCCATTTTTCTCCCCTTCCCCCCTTTACATCAGTTTTTATTTAACACAGGAGACCTGGAACTTCTTTATGGCCAGAGTGAAGTACAGTTAATAGTGTGGGAGAAGTAAGCAATGCACCCATTCATTATAGGCATTTTTCCCTCCCCCGGTGCCCCTTGTCTAAAAATGGGCAGATAAAAGAGTAAAACCCAAGCAGATCACTAATGCTTACAGGACGTCTCTGTGGTCTGCAGGTAATATTTACAGACATTCTTTGCTGTTTAAACTGAGGAAATATGGGGGTTTGACAGTGTGGCTCTACTCTGCACAGTGGCTCTCTAAGTGCGACCCCAACATCAGCAGTGTCAGTATCATGTGGGAATTTGTTTTAACAAGTCCACCCTTAAGTTTGAGAACCTGTTTTAAAGGAAACTATGACAACTTTAACACTAGGGAAATTTTCAATTAAACCAGTCATTTGACATAATATACCAACTCAGACCAATTCAAATATACCATTCAAACAAATGGTCAAACAGACCTAATTCAACTGCATTATTTTCAAAAATTCTCTCAAAGAAACAATGTGTTATATTTGCTAATATAGCCTAAAATTTCAGAATATGTTTCAGTAATTCATATGTAAGGCTTCTGAACATTAGAAAAACATTAAAAATGGCTTTAATAATCACCCATTGTTATCTTTCCCCTCTCTCAACTTCCAGAAGGCATCAGAATTAGCACAGGAACCTGACTTAGCAGCTAAGCAGTACCCGGGCTGCACAGACACCAGCTGTTAACTAGCAGAATGACCTTGGCCAAGTCCCTTTACCTCTGCACCTCAAGTTCTTTATGTAAAAAGTGGAAATAAACTTGTTATTGACCTCAAAGGGGTGTTTGAAAAGCCTAGTTAATAAAACAACTGGAAAGCATTTGGCAAGAGTAAATGCTTAATTCCAGAAATAGAAATGGTGTATTAAATCATCCAGATCAATGCCTAGACGGTAAAGGATTTTTTGATAACCTCCTATTTCCAAATGCTCCCCTTAGTCTAGTTTGAAAATTACTCAACCTGGAGAAAGGAGTTCAGCCATTTTAATGGAACAACCGTAGGAACCACTGACCTTGCTGAGAATAAATTTATTCCAATACCCAGCATAAATTTTCCTGTGCTTAATTTTATTCCATTACTCCTAATTATACCCACCTTATGATACCTTCTCTTATTTTCTGTGCAGTCACTAGAAATAATTGCAAGTACTTAGCAATCCCCTGTCTTGTCATTTTTTAAACCACATATATTTCTTTTATAAGCACACCAAATGTTCATTATACAGAATGTAATATTGGCAAATTGGTGTTTTCGTAAGTTGTTTGATGAGGATGGAAAAATTGTCTAAGCACTTTTTATGCCTGGGAATAATCCCAGCCCTGAGACAAACACAGGGACCCTTGTGATAGGGTACTTCAGAAGAGGCTTAGAATATAAGAGTAAGGTTGCTGAGGCTCCCTAGAAAGGGTTAAATATCTAGGTCAGTGTCTTTCAAACTTCAAGGGGCAAACAAATCACCTTTGAGATCTTTTTTTTTTATTATTATACTTTAAGTTCTAGGGTACGTGTGCACAACATGCAGGTTTGTTACATATGTACACCTGTGCCATGTTGGTGTGCTGCACCCATCAACTTGTCAGCACCCATCAACTCGTCATATAACTCCCAATGCCATCCCTCCCCCCTCCCCATAATAGACCCCGGTGTGTGATGTTCCCCTTCCCGAGTCCAAGTGATTTCATTGTTCAATTCCCACCTATGAGTGAGAACATGTGGTGTTTGGTTTTCTGTTCTTGCAATAGTTTGCTGAGAATGATGGTTTCCAGCTGCATCCATGTCCCTACAAAGGACAAAAACTCATCCTTTTTTATGGCTGCATACTATTCCATGGTGTATATGTGCCACATTTTCTTAATCCAGTCTGTCACTGATGGACATTTGGGTTTATTCCAAGTCTTTGGTATTGTGAATAGTGCCACAATAAACATACATGTGCATATGTCTTTATAGCAGTATGACTTATAATCCTTTGGGTATATCCCCAGTAATGGGATGGCTGGGTCATGTGGTATTTCTAGTTCTAGATCCTTGAGGAATCGCCATACTGTTTTCCACAATGGTTGAACTAGTTTACAATCCCACCAACAGTGTAAAAGTGTTCCTATTTCTCCACATCCTCTCCAGCACCTGTTGTTTCCTGACGTTTTAATGATTGCCATTCTAACTGGTGTGAGATGGTATCTCATTGTGGTTTTGATTTGCATTTCTCTCATGGCCAGTGATGATGAGCATTTTTTCATGTGTCTGTTGGCTGTATGCATGTCTTCTTTTGAGAAATGTCTGTTCATATCCTTTGCCCACTTTTTGATGGGGTTGTTTGTTTTTTTCTTGTAAATTTGTTTGAGTTCTTTGTAGGTTCTGAATATTAGCCCTTTGTCAGATGAGTAGATTGCAAAAATTTTTTCCCGAGATCATTTTTAAATCAGACAATGATTCTGTAGGGCCTAGGATTCTGTATTTCTGGTGATCTCCCAGATAAGGCTTGCACCAGAGAGCCTGGGGACCACATTTTGAGGAGCCAGCATCTAGACTGGGAAGGTCTTTCAAAATGGGGTTCAAGGTTCATTCATAAGGTGTTTGTTAAAAATACAATATCTTGATGCTCATCTGAAGCCTACTGATTCAGAACTTTCAGGGATGGCCCAGGGATCTGCATTTAAAGGTATCTGCAGGAGACCTTGACAAGATCTAAAGTTTGAGAACTAATGTCTTAACTAATGTTCTAGCTCAGTGATTCTCATCCTTAGCTTTCCACTCAAATCACATGTGGAGAATTAAAAAGTACTGATGCTGGGGCCTCTGGGAATGTGGCCAGGTTTGATGTTTTATTTAAAGCTCCCAGGTGATTCTAATATTCCGTGAAGGTTGACCTATTTGGGATAGCTACTTGAGTGTCAACAGAAATTTAGCTGAGCACTTTGGAGTTCAGGCTGGGTCTTCAATTTCCTTTGATTTAAATTGAGAGAGGGAGGGTGGGTACTCTCTGGATGCTAGGGTTGCCAGATTGAGCAAATAAGCATCTGGGATGCCCAGTTAAATTTGAGTTTCAGATAAGGAAGGAATAGTTTTAGGGTATAAGTATGTCCCATGCAATACTTGGAACATATTTATACTAAAAAGATTATTTGTTGTGTATCTGAAATTCAAATTTAACTGAGTGCCCTGTATTTTATCCAGTAACCCTATCCCTGGCTTCAGTTCAGAATGGATGGCCAAGGAATGCTGTTTCTCTGTCACTACTAGTGCAGCTAGCATCCCTGTTTTACTTTGCCAGTACATGGTTCAATCCAGGAAGTTTTGGATCGCCCACAACATTTGCGTAATCACTGCCACACTAAGCTAATGAGGCATGATGAGTAAATCACTCTCTTGCGTCCTTGGAAAAGGTGCAGGTGTTTGCAGAAGAGAGGCAGTTGAGATTCTTCAGGAGGCCCAGCAGATTATGATGCCGTTACCATGGTGTCCAGTCTGGCAGGAACCGGGGAACAGATGCTATGCTTTTCACAGGACGCTTTTCCTTCTGTCATGGCCTGTTTTCTTTTTGAATAATAAAGGTGCTTAGAATTCTTTGGTTTTACCATCTCAAGTAGTTTTACTAGTGAGTGTTGAAACAAGTACTTTCTAGCATGACTGCATCTACCTTATACAGCAGGAGACCTTTTTTAAAGGGCACAGATCTATTTGTGAATGTGGTAACTATTTATTTTATTATTATTATTATTATTATTATTATTTTTGCCAAATACCCAAAATTCAAGGATAGTGGTAACTATTTTGTAAAAATTTTTATATAGACATTTTAGGACTTCACAAGCCTGTCTATGAACCCCAGTTTAAAAACTCCCAATTCACAGTAAAAGAAAGTGCTAGTTTCTTGGACAGAGGATACTTCATTTCTACATGGTGTAAAGGTGGTCTTAGGTCATCTTCTCTCTCCTCCTATTAGTAACTCTCTTGTCATTCCTGAAAGAAAGGTTGTTGACAATGGAAGTTCTTCATTTCTGTCCAGCAGATAGCCCTGTGAAGATTTCTAGCCTCGAGGCCAGTTTTCTTCAGCCAGGCAAGCGAGGGGCAATTTGCTAATGAGTTTGAGGCTCCTCTTGGGCAGCCCATCTTGCAGAACTGTCTTAGGTTCAGCAGAGGTAGTCTAGGCCTTTGTGGGCCTCACCCTGTTCTTTCACTCTCCAATAGCATGATCCCAGTGGCTTGTCTCCTTGCCTGGCCTCCATTCTTAGGAAGCCATTGCTTTCTGGTTATCCTTCCAGGTTGCAGGGGTGTAGAGGTAGGAGTCAAATTGCAACAATTCCTTCTGAGCTTCCAACAGCTGGAAGAAACAACCCTGGAAAGAATTGATTGTCTGAAAGTGCTTAAAGGAAAGGAAAATGGAAAGTCTGTTGACAAGAGGAGAGATTTTTGAGTAAACCAAGAAGTCCTCTCTGAAGGATTTCACTTGACTGAAAAATGACAGACATAATGTTTAATTTCCCCAGTGGATGATGATGGATAAAAATCTTGAAGTTGGCTAAGACTAACTAGAATTGTAAGAAGTCAGAGTGGAATGGTGCTAGGCTGCTATCCTGTGCATGAATTCCCTAAAATCGATTTTGCATTATGTGGCCGTAGTCATAAAATAAAGCAAAACCTCTTTAATTCATACTGATTTGGGAATGTGTTGATTATTCTAAATGATAGGATTTATAATAAATGTCACATTTATTAGTTATTTATACAAAGCAATTAAAATTAGGTGAAGTTACTGAATAATCATGTTAAAGGGATCTGTTTTGAGGAATAGGATAGGATTAATTTGTGATTAAGATCAATTACATGCAAATGATGTTTGAAAACCTAAAAGTATTGTTCACAATATCAACTTGCTCAACTAAGTCATTCTGCTTACTTAGTGGAAAGGTAAACTTTAGCCTGAATTGCCACACATCCTAAATTAGTACAGCCCCAATTTAATGAGGTTTTACTGTAAGCACAAGTTGTTTTTGTCTGTGTCATCAAGATGGCCATCCTAGGATAAGATTTACATATGAATTGAACACTGAATAAACACCACAGTGATTTTCTTTTAGGTCTTCTGCAGCTAATTTTCAGCACTTTGTTAAATAACTTAATCTCTTTTGTGTTTAAGGGATTTAAGGACAATGTCTATCGACAGAGAAGAAAGTATTTTGTGGATGTGGCCATGGGTTATAAATAGTAAGTACCTGTATAACTCTTTCTTGTCACTGGCTAGTTAGGAAAAACACATGCTGTGTTAAACAAACCTGTCATCTCTTCACTTAAACTTTTGCAGAAGGCAGGCGTGAACCATTTTAAACACTCACCAACTCTGTAGGCTCTAAATGCCAACATTGATGTTTGACATCTGGGTATAATTGTAAAATAATGAGACCTGCGGGCCACATGCCAAGAGCTACATTTACACCATTGTGTTCCCAGCTCCACCAAGACAAAGACCATTTCTGTGCACTCTGCAGGTCTCAGAAACTGTGTTTTCATTTTAATTTTACTTTAGCCTTGACTTTTCAGTAACTCCCTTCAATCTCCTGCTTGAAGGGAAATGAAAGTAGAGGATTCAGCAAGAATGGTGAAAGGGCTCATTTAAGAAGCCGTAATAGAAAAGACATGTGTTTGCTTTACATGGAGAGGAAAACTTCCTGTAAACTGCAGGGGTTATGGATGGAAGAGGAGGACCTCACTTTTCGGGGTGAGGACTGTGCATAGTACATGATGCTATGTGGTAGTGACAGGATGTGTTTGCGATGTTGTATGCTGACTGTAGGCCACGTTTAGAAAAATGCAGTGGTGGTTAGGCCTGTGTTTGTTCTACTCACGCTAGTATAACTCATAGATCATCACAATGCTCTCTTTCCTCTGTCTGGTATGTGATCAGCTACAGGAAACTTGTCATCAGAACAAAATGTAAATCCATACCTCGTAAGGGAAAGATTCGTCCTACCCCAATTGAGAGTAGGTGTGAAACTTACTGTCCTGAGAGGCAAATTTGTCATTGGTGAAAGTTTAGGACATTATGTACATTATAGAGGGTCTCAGTATGGGCTTTTTTTATAAAAAGGAATTTGACACACAGGTGCTTAAGACAGATGAGAAGATTCTTCATCCCACCTCTCATTGGGCATCCCTAGCTTCCTTTGATGCTTAGGTGCTCTTCCCTTCATCCTTCCAAGTCCCAGGCATCCTTCCTCTTTTCTCTACCACATTTAGGAAAACCATATTCTTGAAAACCAGGACCACATGGCACATGCCCTTTCACATATGCCTATTCTCATCTCCTCTGTTCTAAGCACCTTCCTTGCCCTCTCTACTGTGACTTTCCATATCTTGCAATATCAGCATGCACTTGCCCTAGCCCAAGCCCAACCTCAGGCTCCCTTCTTACCCTCAGTACCACCACCCCTCTAGCCCCATCTCCCAGTGTTTCCTGATTAAATTGCCAAGAGAGGACTCGGACCAGCTGAGCTCACGTTTTCACCTCAGGCCCTGATAATGGTTGTGAGCCTTATGATTGGCTCCCTGTGGTCCACAGGCTTCTTCTGTGGAATCAGGTCATGACTGTATAGGTGGATCCTTAGAGGCGGTGTGGGCAGGGCAGTTTCTTTGTAGCATGACCTGCCAGAACATGGTAGAAGCTCAATGCCTGGCAGAGCCTTTTCCCTTAGATAAAGTAGATTGCTTTGTCACTCAGTCTGCCTCCTGAGTAGCTGGGACTACGGGTGTGTGCAACCATGCCCAGCTAATTTTTTAAATTTACTTTTTGTATTTTTGACAGGGTTTTGCTGTGTTGCCCTGACTGTTCTCAAACTCCTGTGCTCAAGTGATCCTCCTGCCTGGGCCTCCCAAACTATTGGGATTATAGGTGTGAGCCACTGTGCTTGGCCAGAAATTGTATTTTATATGTGGATGCTATATGTTTCTTATATGTGTGCGTGTACGTGTGTGTGTGTGTATAAAATGACATGATTTCAGCTGGGTGCGGTGGCTCATGCCTGTAATCCCAGCATTTTGGCAGGCTGAGGCAGGCAGATCACCTGAGGTCAGGAGTTCCAGACCAGCCTGACCAACAGGGAGAAAACCTGTCTCTACTGAAAATACAAAATTAACCAGGCATGGTGGCAATTGCCTGTAATCCCAGCTACTCGGGGGGCTGAGGCAGGAGAATCGCTTGAACCTGGGAGGCGGAGGTTGCAGTGAGCCAAGACTAAGAGACTAGCTCAAGTGTTACTTATTTCTTCTTGATAGAATTCAAAAGCTAAACAAAGGCAAGCTGATGTTGTGGTGATACAAGTAGAATATATGAGTCAACTAGTTTCATGGAACTTTGATAATGAGGAGTCATTTGGTTTTAAAGAAAATATATTTATATGGAGAGGACAGAAAATGAGCATATAGTCAAAATGATGGAAAGCGAGGTTCTCAAAGGGTTAACAAGATTTTGCATTTACCACCTTTGCATAGCTAAAGAGTAAAATGAAGGTGTGATATCTGTAGGGAAAAAAATAGAAAATGGAGAAATTGATGGACATTTATATAATAGAGGGCTGGATGGAACTGGGGCATTCCAGGATCTGGACCCAGTTTAGAGGGTTGGGGAGTGCTAAGGTTCAAGGGGCTTGACTCTTGGTAACTGAATGTTCAGGAGGCCAAGAGAGCCAGGAAATGGCCAATTCATCATTTTATAGTGAGAAACAACCCTCAAAGGACTCACAAAACTATCCTTATAGTCATGATAGCAGAGGAGGCAGGACTATAACCTTAGGCTACTTGGTGGATGCAGAGTCAAAGCAAAGGATATTTACCTAACAGAGTTTAGAATCCAGGGCATTATAGCCCTCTCCCCTGGATGGTTCTGAGACCAAACTGACTAGACAGGATAACGGCAGGCTTAAAAACTGGGGCATTGGACTCCGACAGTCTCGGCTTAGATGCACTCCACTACTCCGAGCTCGGTGTGCAACCTCATTGTGCCATGGCTGTTTCATCTGGGAAGTGTGCCCAACAATAGGACCCATTTCACAGGGTTGTAGTAAGGACTAAAACAGAGAATGCATGTGCTGTACCTCACACAGAGCCCAACACATGACCAATGATTGTAAATGTCACTTACATTATTAACACATCTCCCCCAACATTTTCCACAGGCTGTCTTCCATTTCCAGTGGACCTACTGTTTTCTTCTTTAGTGATGTTAATACCATTGTTTATGTGCCATTTTATCAAATAATGTAGCTCAAAACATTCTTGGAAGAAACTGTTTAGTTTCCCATTGAAGGGCTGTTGCATATACAGAAGCATTTTGTGTTGACCTACATTCCTCTTTACAGAGAGATTTCATAAAAAGCAGTCATATTCCTCCCCACTCCCTTTTTTTTTTCTGCACATGGGAAGCTGCCAAAATACTAATAACAGATTGCCAGTACTTCTTGTGAGTGGATGGACCAAGGAAGGTGCCTACCAAAGGTAGTTAAATCAGGAAAGCACGAACCCAGGACTTGTGGGAAGTAGAGCCAAATATCATTCCTTAATGCCCGGTATGCTGTCATTGCTAAGGTTTCTCTGAGTGTGAGTTTGAGGATGGATAAGAGAGAGACAGTCCTGTGTGTCACTTGTGGGCTTATGTGCCTGCTGTGGTGCTGGCGGGGGTGGGGCACAGACACTGACAAATTCCACGTGGGCCTTCGCAGTTGTGTCCAGGCTGCCGTGTAGCAGGTAAGGTTTCCCTTCAGTTTACAGGAGACAGGGATGCAGTTTCTAATTGAAATAGGTCTTTTTCTAGTGCTGATGGTTTTCTGAGTACATGAAGGAGAATGATGTGAATATCATAATTACTTCAAATAATCTCATTTAAGTGTGCAACAACCTGATTTTCCAAACTGACGTTTAGAACCACTTTGTCCAAGGAATGGATCATTTGAGGTTGGGGTCGTTTTGAAAAATCCGGCATAGGCGGTCCTCACAAATATAGTTTGGTGATAAAATTAGGGACCATGCTGATGGGGAGAACAATTCGATTCCCTTCCCTGCTGATCATTAGTTAAGACTTTCTGGACAATGAGAAGAAGTCAAACATGTGGTCAGAAATGCAGAGAAAGATGGAGTATGGATATTTTGGGGTTGTAATAGGGGTTGGCAGGATGTAGTTTGAGGTGTCTAAAGGTAAGGAGAAGGGAAAGAAATGAAATACAGAATAATATATATTGAAACCACAGCCAAGAAGCCCTCTGGGGGATTCGTGTTGAATACTATATTTTCTGTGATATTCTTGAAAGGATAAAGCAGGGGGGAAGAATAAACACAAGCAGAGAAAAATGAAAAAATTCCACTCTATGATGAAAAAACAGCAGGCTCAAAGTCTGTATTACCATGAGCCCGAAAGAGGAGAGGGAGCGGGAAAGCACCGGCATGCTGAGAACTGTCAATAGATGCCACTCAGGCGAGCTTCTGATTGACAGTGCTGCCGAGAAACATGATTGATTACCCAGAGGCCCACAGCCGCCTGCAGACATGAGTGTGGGAAGGCCTAATTGCCTCACCAATAATAGCACAGGAAACATTCATTAGTGCAAATATCATTCTTCATAGAAGATCTGAGAATGAACACCCTGGATCGAGAGGACACTGTTTCTGAAATCATCTGTGAGAGAATGTCTAACACACAGATCACGCCTCTCCTCCCCCGCCCAAATAAAATAAATTCTAGTATAAACAGGAAAAAAGTACTCCATGATTAGATAATGTGATGTGCATATAGACTTGCAGTTCAGAGGAAATGGAAGTGCGTGGCGGGCAGATGGCATGTGAAGGAAGAGGAAATTGTGACTGCGATGTTGTAGCTGTTAGGTTTGTCTGAAACTGTCCAGTTTTCTGTCTTTGGTGCCTTCATATTTGAACCTTAGCATTAACTTTGCTGCATTTCTGTGGACTTCACAATTACTATATTGTTGGGGGAACAATCAATGATACATTTTTTCAGTTGACTGGAAATAAACACATTTTTCTTTTGGGGGCTGTTACAATGATTATTCCTCAACGATATACATGCATATTTAATTTAATTATATCTTTCGTGGGGATGGTGGTAGTTATTTCAATCCATCTTATTCTTTTGGAAAGAGGCCCTGAGCTCTAGCTTTAATTATGCCACTCTTGTTTGCTTAAAATGATTTTGAATAGTATTG